GGAGAGGAAAGCACATTAACATAAAGTTATAGTCACTAACCATACTCTTATCCCAATCAGTAAATATAAAGTTTTCGAAGGACTTGCAGATGCTGGGACCTATTTCAATGGTCTTTTCATGATCAAGGCTGACGTGTACAAAATTTGACTCGATTATTATGGACATAAGAGGATCCACAACGCTGGAGGGCAGTTTCAGAGGAGCGAACAGATTTTTCATCTCTTCGTCATTTATCTCTGATTCCCCAGTAGAATGCATCACTGGCGAAGTACTATCTAGCATCAATTCACAGGAATTATTAATGGTGCGCAAGCGATTGAGACGCAATTCAGAAATACCTCCTTCATCATATGATGCAGCTTGATGCTGAAATAGTGGATCAACCTAGCAATATAACAGAAAAAGATCCTCAAATTATATTAAATTAACCATAAACAATCATACTATTAAGCTAGTGATAAAATTGGTCGAACTGACAACTTACATCGTATTTAGAAGCAACAACTTTGTTACGGATTTTAGCTATCAGCTTTTGTATAACATCCCTCTGAGATGGAGCCTTTTGTCGTCGTTTTTTATTAGCTTCAGGTGCAGGACGCTCCAAACCGTTGTCTGTTTCATCAGATGAATCTATATTCTGATGATGCTCGTTGTCGCTTTCCTCTCCTTCATGCCTTGTCTGCTGTTTACCACTATCAGAACGGCCTAAACCTGTGAGGACTTGATAGGTCTCTTGATGAACAGCGTCAACGCGGCCAGCGTAAATCTTGGCTCCGGCATCTAGAGAAGAGCTGGCCATCTAATAGAAAGCATATCAGAGTGATGTACAAAAAAGGTGATATTAATCTATAATTTTAAACAAACCTGAAAACTCGCAAAGTCCTCTTTTTGGATCATTTCACTCATATAGTCTATAAGGTGCAAATTGAATGCATTCTTTGAGGTAATTTTGTTTTCTGCAGCTAACTTAATGCAGGTACCATAATGATCACCAATTTGAGCCTGGGAAATCGAACGAGGTGCAGCAGCATCAATTCGGCGCTGAGAACTAGATGGTTGGTTTGAATTAGGTCTAGAGAGCTGATCTTGATCAGGTGGTTTATTCCCTGATTGGCATGGACTATCCAAGCCTACAGGATGAGGCTCAAGTATCCTAGATTTTCTTCGAGCAATTCGTTCATATTCATCATTGTTTTCGTCACAAATAGAAACTAATTTTAAAACGCATAAAAAATGGTTGTATATAATTGTGCGAGACGGGTCGTTGCTATGGGAAATATTGACACAAGGATATAACGTGAAAAATGAATGAGTGAATTTCGAAAACAAAAATATAAGGAGGAATACTTACGCAGTTCATGATCAATTAGGGCATCACCATGACTATCTACAGTACTCTTACGAGGCTTAAAGCGCTGAGGAACGGTCGGGGCATCATCGTCATCAGCGTCGGAACAGAGCACATTATTCCTCCTGCCTTTATTGCGAATATTATTTGCAACCAATGTCATCTAGACAGGGCTAAAGCCGAAAATCGAGCCCAATAGAAAGGGTGTATGTAGATAAAAATCAATTTCAAACGAACGCCTAAAGGTGATTTTGTATTGAGTAGTACGATTAATTAACATTACTTCTTGAAAAATAGGCAGACTGAAGAAAAAATTGGCTGGAGTGTAGTTAATTTTATTATGCACTAAATAAATCAGAAATTTATGCAAATTTTGATTTAACTGTTTTGGTTGGTTATTCGTTTATTATTATTTAATTTTATAAGTTTATAATGTTATATATGTAATTTTATAAGATCATAGCGTTAGCCAAGATTATCCTATTTAAATTTATATCTTCTACCTTGTAATTTGTAAAAGCAAATCTCGATCTTTGCAATAGGTTGCTCGATCTCTCTTTACCTTTTAATTCTTGCTTTTTAGTTAGGCCTTCTTTTTTGATAAATGGTCAAAGCTTAAGTTGATCGTAATAGCTCTATAATGGTCAAGCTCTTCGCTCAGAATAAGAAATTATCTTAAAGGTCATATGCCCTCAATCCTGAATAAAATCTTAGGGATACCCCAAGAGTAGGTGGGCTATTTGATCATTTAGCCATAATTTAGCAAAATTAGAGAAATATCACTTCTGTCCACTGACTTCTTTTGGGATTTTTACAATATTATCTTAATATAGATTTTTTAAAAATATTGTTTCACTGTAGTGCTAGCTTTGAGCCAACTTAAGAAACTTTCTTGTACCCCCGAAATATTTATGGCAACAGACTTGAGAAAGTTTCTTCTAAAATGCATAAGTAAAATGATTCAATTAAGTTAAATATAAGCGTCATCTCAAATATTTTGTAATATTGCTGTTTGTCTAGAATTTTGGTCAATATTAGTCAGTTAAAAAGCGCTTATCATTTAGCCTCTATGGTGTGCTTGAAGTGAAGTATGCCCAAAATAGCGGTTTGTAGTCGTCAGTAAATGCGAGGAAAGTCTTGTCATAGTGTTTAACGAATTTCTACAAGACCAATTTTTCCGCCACGACGTTTTTTGTCAAATGGCAGACGAAAGTTCATCGTATGACGATATTCCGAGGATTTTTTGAGCAAGATTGCAGCCATAGCTCTATAATCCTAGTTATGATTCTAAGTTGGCCAGTTACTGTATCCCTTCTACTTGACTCTTCAAGCATAGTATAAGGTGCACAAAATACATCTACTAAGGGATTTTTCGAAACCACTGTCGATACTAATGATAAAGAATATAGATTTGAAGACCAAGATGTTGTAGCCCCTGTTTTACTGTTGTCCTATACTATAGAAATAGGGTGTAATAAGGAAAATTGTAGGTGCTTAGAGCTTATTTAACTAAAGGCGTCGGGACTTTGACGGAGAGCTGTTGCTGACCTAGACCCTCATAAAGTGAAGATGGTCTCGCGCTTCTATTAAATTTCACACGGCCTTCCCTCTTAAAGCGGACTGCAATTTTGACTTCATATCATTAATATTCCAGATAGAAGTTTATGGTATAGTTTCTTCGTTATTACTATACTATACTGCCAGGAAAACCAGTGGGTCGCAGAGTAGACATGAGTTCCATTATAAAAATGAGATTTTAAATTTGGTTCAGGATTTGTATAGAATTGACTTTGATTTAGGTTAAGAGGCGTTGCCTTAGTAATCCCATGGAAGAGATGGGTAACTACAATTACGGAGTAGATACTTGACAGACTAAATGCACAAACGAACCCCGTGAGTAAACCCAAAAACGAAGCTATTTTGGCCTTTGTTTGGGGGAGGAAATATATAGAAATAATAGCTATGTGAATTGTTACATCTCCTTTCCCTTTCTCTATGCTAAATGCAAATACGAAGGGTCCAGTGATAGCTCGGGTGGGATTACATTCAGGAGCAAGTGCTGAGTTGGCATTCTTGAAGGGTATCTCCTACGCGGTAACAGACTGATTTTCATCGTGAAATGTCATGTGATTGAGTCATTGAAAACCGTTTTGAGTGTCCTAACCCATTTATTAGGGAGGTAACGTGCATAACTTTCAAATTGATATGAATAATTCCTCAGTTTCAATCAAGACAATAACTGAGTCAAATGAAGGGGGTTAGATAAGTATAATCATTTGATGGTCGAAAGAACCACCAAATGCTGTATGAAAGGAGGCAAGTGAGGAAAAAAGATTGAAGGCACTATAATCACGAGGACTAGTGACCAGTGAAGAATGTAGCTATAGTTGAATAAGCCTACCCGTCCGCGCTTCAGATGTTTGCCTGTCTTGAAAAATGTGTAAATAAAGATCTAGAGAGTTGAGCCAAGTAATAAATGCCAAGCCTTCACAACTGCATCGAAAGAATAGATTATTTTCACAACCACTTGACCCAGTATCATTTATTGCAGCTGGCTTGGACAGACCGCCTCATTCAAACACTTTGCGCCACTTATCCCCGCATTGAAGCGCTTGTCACCCCTGGAGGTGACATGGAGGGGTCCAGTGTAACACCTTTAGATACCGTGGAATTATATGGAATTTACTTGAACTCGATGCTGCGCAATTTCTTAACCAGGGCCAAACTCCTCAAATAATCCTGACGGGCGTCGAAGTGTCTAGGAAGTATGAACGCGCTGGACAGACAAAAATTACATTTAGAAAGCTGCCCTGGTGGGCCACAGACCTCATCTAATTTGCGATTTACAGGCTTAATAGGAGTATAGGAAAACTATATGTCCAAAAGGGAGCGTCGGATTGTATAAACGATTTGGATTATGGAAAAGGCGATTTGATAGTGAATAGGAAATATGCAG